AAGAAGAAAGGAGACAGTTCGTTAGAAAGGAGACACTTTAAAGGGGACAAAAGGAGACACATTAATAAAGAGAAGAGACATTTGTTATAAACTAAAGGAGACACATTAATAAAGTGAAGAGACATTTGTTATAAACTAAAGGAGACACATTAATAAAGAGACAGACATTTATAAGGGGAGAGACATTAATAGAGGAGACACTTTTATAAGAGACAGAAGGAGAGACGTTTGCATCTAAAAGATGCATCAACAGAAAGGAGACGCATTAATAGACAGGAGAGACAAATATAAGAGACAAAAGGAGACATATTAATGCACAAGAGACACAAAGAGATAGCAGACAAAAGGAGTTGCGTTCATATATATATATATATATATTATAAAATATATATATATATATATGTAGGAAGAGACAAGAAAGGAGACATGTCGAAGCAGCAGCAGCAACAGCAACACCATCAGCAGCAGCAGCAGCAGCAGCATTACCTCTTCAGGTGTCCCCAAGCGGCCAGCGGGGATGGAGGCGAGAGCAGCAGCCTATAAACAAATAAACAAACAAACAAACACAAAAAGATTAAAAATAAATAAGAAAGGGTTGTCCTTTTGTTAGAGCGACTCTGTTTTATTAACTGCATATTTTGATCATTTGTTTATTTATATCATTTTAAATAAAATATACTTTTATAATTTTCTCTTTGTTCTCCTTCACCCCAACAAAAGACACAACAGGCATCAGTGAGCAGCAGCAGCAGCAGCAGCAGCAGCAACACCAGCAGCAGCAGCAACACCAACAACAGCAACATCAGCATCTACCTACATATACATATACATACACATATACATATACATATACAAATACATAAATATATATATTTATACATATATATATATATACATATATATATATATATATATTTATACATACATAAATATACATAAATATATATATATATATTTTTTTATACATATATATATATATATATTTATACATTATATATATATATATATTTATACATATATATATATATGTTTATATATATATATATATATATATTTATATTTATGCATTTACACCCCAACTCTTCATACAAAATCCACAGCACGTTTTTATTAAAATAAATATTATCTACAGACATCATTTAAGACAAATAAATAAATAAATATAATCTAAGACAAATAAAACAAACAAACAAACAAACTAACTAAATAAATAAATATATATATATATATACATGTATATATCATAAAAAGAAGTAAAAAATATAATTTTTTTTTTGTTTTTGTTTACCTTCGCAGCTTCAGGCATTTTATCAGTCATAGGTGATTTGATGAAGCCCGGGGCGATAGCATTAACAGTAACTCCTCTATTCGCGTATTCTTTTGACAGGCTTTTTGTTAAACCTATTAAACCTGCTTTAGACGCTGCGTAGTTCGCCTGCCCTGCATTACCTCCTACGCCTACTACTGATGACATGTTCAAGATACGCCCGTACCTAACAAACAAATATATATATATATATATATTTATATATTTATATATATATTATATATATGCATGTATATATAGATAAAATATATAAACATTTTTTTATTTTTATGTATTTTATGGTCTGTATATTTATATATGAGCACCGATGTAATACAGCAATATATATATA